AGTTTGCATGTCCATCTGTCCTCTTCTATCTACGACTTTCCTTAAGGTTCCTTTAGACATCAAATGTTTCCCAATCTGGCTGGTTTTCGGACAATCTAATATCTCGGACGTGTTTGCGTCAACAGGGGAACAGCGTATGGACAGATTAGAAAATCTTCTGATTGTTTAATCTGTCTATTGTTTTCTCCCTGAGCAGCCAACAGCATAGTGTCTGCAATGCACCTTTCCTGTCCTGCTCCATAGCCCTCAACTTAACTGGTCATGTTGAAAGACATGCTGGCCAGCACAGATGCTGGTGGGCAGTCAGATTGTGCCAGCACTCCTGACCGCCCACGGCCGGAAACATTTTACCTTTCTGAATCAGGGACAGGTCACAAAACTGGTTTGCATGCAACAGAAGAACATTCTGGCAGAATCAAGGGCAACAAAAATGTGAAAACTAGTGATAATGAATATTTCCTGAGGGCTCTAACGGAGGGCAAAGTGACATTCTTATCAAGAGAAAGCATTTTAAAGGAAAAGAAGGAATAAAAGGAAGGGAAACAAATTCTTGCACAGTTTACTTTTTATACCCTGAATGTATTTTATTAGAACATTGTATGTGGCTCTTTACTGTATACATTTTGAAGCATTCACTCTGTGCAAATTTTGGTTCAGTCTCAAGCCTTGTGATCTGGTTGGAAAGTCCTGAGACTATTACAGCCACTACAGCACTTATCTGAGCGGTTGTAAAGTGGGCCTGTCACCTCCACAAACAAAAGGTGGCAATTTTATGTTCTGAATAAATAATATTCACCAGCATACAAATGTGCTGGGTACTCCTGACACCACTGAGGTCTTAAAACACTTTTCCCTTCATGCCTCAGTGATGCCTCTGGTTTAAATTACAGTCTAGATGCACGGCCTGTGGCTCTCAGAGCAAGCGCACACCACAAATAAAGACCAGTTACAGAAAACCTTTGGCACTTCAGCTGCCGCTGACCTACATTTCTAGCCAAAGGGTGCTGGAAAATTTGGCACAAAACCCATAAGGTGGAGGCTGGGGAGCCACAAACCATACCCCACATCTAAAACAGCATGCTGGGAAATGTAGTCCACTAGCAGCATAATCTACTTGTAAAGCCATGAGCTGGCTATCCTAAAGATTGTGCAACCTCCGAGAATGCAGTAACTGCTCATTACCACACCCAGAAAATGATGCTATTTTAACGCCAATGAGATTGACTAATTACTCTTCCACTTCAGTACATATTCCAAAATTACATCTGAACATTAATCTCTTGTCAAACACACAGGACTTTAGTAGTATGGGAAAATGGCGGTTAGTCAATTAACCCCTCAAGTGCTTAGGATTCAATGAACAGAGGTATTGCAATTGTTAGGAAAACAGAAAATACACATTACATGCTTCTTAAATTGACATTAAAAATTATTTTGTAAAGGTATTTTGAAGAATTTTGATGCTCTGAAGGAAAAAAACAAATAACATTTTAACAATACAAACATTTAAATTCCCTGCACCAACTCCATTGATCATTAAAGTGCCCCAAACAAAAGTGGTCATTTAGTCGGAACGGTAAGAGCAGTAGAGCGGCTTGGTCAGCTGATCCTGCACAAAGTTCCTTTTCTATTACATTACAAAGAGAGAATTCGTTCACAATCAAGCAGGTAGTGTTAGAGGTGGCTGGTTTGGAGGAATATGCCAAAGATAAATGGGATTACTCCTGAGGCGATCCCACAGGTAACACCTCGTATGTAGACTCAAAGCTTTGTGTACAACAGTTTCTGGTTCAGTAATGCTGGCCATACACAGGAAGGAGGAGGAGGATCAATTTGGGCCTTTCACACTAAACCTTGGCTTTGATGATAAAAGACATCAGAACTACCTAGTGGCCTTCATTCTGACTTTACCACATTGTAGTCATTTCTGAGAAACATCTACTAACACAATACAGAGTCTCTGATGTATTCAAAGCAATGTCATTTAGTTCACTTAAAAGTTGCGGCAACCTGTTTGCTTGCCCTCTAATTAACTTGAAGTTTCTGAACGTCTGCACTTTTAGAGCACTTTGAGCTTAAGGTCCAGTTGGAATCTCTTACTAGGAAAACATGTTAAGATTTTTTTTTAATAGATGCTCAAATCTACTTTGGATCAGCCTGGAAACCTGCCCTGTGTATGACCAGCTAAAGCACAAGCTATGTACAGCAGCAAGTGCTGGGGTAGGCAACCTCAGCACTCCAGTTGTGGTGAAACTACAAATCCCATTAGGCATTGCCAGACCCTGACAGCCAAAGGTATGACTCCCAGAGGCATGATGAAATTTGAAGTTTCACAATAGCTGAAAGAAAGAAAGATTTACCTCTGGTTGTATATGGACACTGGATTTGGAAGAAAGACAACTCCTGCCCAAACTTTTTTTTGAAGTTTTGCATAGTGAGGAAGGGTTAAACTTTCTGTATTGCTTTTTTATTGCTGTCTGTGAAGCCATTATGACATTTCCCTTTTCCTGTACCTGCGACACCATTACAAGCAATAAGGGAAATGTAACCAAGAAAGAAAAAGCAAAGCTGAACAGAGCAGAGGTTCTACCTCTTCTCAACTATGAGAGAATTCCCATCCCTTCCTGTACCTGTGACACCCTGTCATGTGGACAAGAAGTGAGAGGAAAACTCTTACAGACAGAAGCTGAAAAACTTGACAGAGGTTCTTCCTGATCTATCCAAAACTACAAATAAAAGGTTTTGGTTAGAGTTGGATCTAGACAAGAATATACTGCAGTATCATCGTGTAGTTAGCAAGTGAACTGCTGTTAAAGTACAGCACAATGAGGATCCATTATCCCTATTAAGGCTGCAGTATGAGGCGCATGCAGCTAGCTGTTACACACCGCTTATAACCAACATGACGTGAACTGTTGTGTACAAAGCAGAAACCAAAACATAAGAGCTCCTGCAGCTCTCCATATACAAAATAATAAAAAACAGCCCTGAGCACCAGATGACGCCACAGAAAAAAAAGAACAATTCACATTGACAATGTAGATTAGACACAGGAATGAAATGAAACACCAGCCTGCTGGCTTTCTGAAATTGTTGTGCAGACTTCGCCGTGCGTTTGAGCCGGGACTGACAGGGCTGGATCCAGATGGAGAGACCGGAACTGTGGCCCGCACAGCCAACCCCTGGTGACAACTGTCTCTTGGGTTTCTCGTGTCGTGGAATGTTTTGAAGAAAGACTCCAGTACAGAAAAAAAGTGGACCCTCGCCATTTACCAGACGTCTGAGGGCCACGTTTCTGGACGCACCTTCCAGCTGTGCCTCCCATGAGGTGCTTCCCTAAAACATTATGTTACAGTCCTGCTGTGTTACATGTACTTCCTTAAGGATTTTCACAGCTCAGCTGTGCTTTGTGACTCCTACCGGCAGAGTCCTTAAGGGTTTATTACAGACCTGCTGTGTCACGTGACCCCTTCCAGAGGGTGTCTACAGTCCTGCTGCATCTCATGGCCCCAGCCAGGGGGCATTATTATAACAGTCCAGCTGTTTTCATGACCATGTATAGGGACAAGCCTCTGTTCTGCACTGACTTCTTTCTTTTGGGGAAGCTTGGAGAAAAACCCAAAGTCACTTAGCTTTCATGTTACAGGACACAAGAATGGTACCGTGTGAGGAGGAACAAGTCGAATAATAAAGACAAGTTAACCGTTAGTTTACTAGGTTAACTACATCCTTCCATCAGGTTGCAGTCCAGCATCTCTTAATGGACGTTTACAGGTGCAGATTTATATTTCTTCCATCTAGGTTAACTCTTATAACAGCCACCTCGTAACAAATGTTTCTGTGGTTGCAGTGACAGAATTTGCGCTTTTATAGTTTAGTGATTGGTCACCACAGTTGCCTGTCAGGTGTTTTTAATCACCTGAAAACTAGAAGAACCAATTACAAAACAGCAACAGTAGAGTTTTGCGGATTGCACGGTGGAAAAGGTTGTCAATAGATGACCAGTACCAGTTGCAACAGTCGAATTTACTAGGAATCCAATGTATCTGCATAAATTCATCAGTACTACCACATATTGTGACATTTTTACTTTCTAAATAGCTGCAGCAACATTTTCAGCAACAGCAGTTGGTGAATACGTACGTGTGTTGCAGCAACAAATCAGACGATAGCTTACATAGTTTTTACAAAAAGTTTGGTTGTCATAGAGACGCTACATTTGGGCATCTACTGCACTTTGTTGGACTGCAACCTCACATTAGATGTAGAACCTTAAACTGCTCAGGGTGAGAGCTTAACAGAGCCAAAATGGCCTACTGAGCATGCAAAGGCTGAAAAGGACAAGCAAAGAGGGAAGAAAACAAATATGGCTGCTGTTGTCACTCAGTAAGACAATGCTTTGTCTCTGCTTTTCTCCTGCTGGAACAATAGCTCTGTACTATTAAAGAGCTGCGAGCAGAAGCTGGAATTGGAGAGTCTGGACTGCTCTGGCCAGATGCCTTGTCCGATCCTCTCTGATTAGAAGCAGACAAAAACACCGTCACACATTGAGGAGCTCAAACACGCTGGATATGTGCACACGACAACTGGACAAGTGCCAGAATGAAACAGGAACAGAAGAGGAGGGCCAGGACAAAGTCCGATGAGGGCTTCCAGCCCCGAGTGTCTCACCCACCCCTCATAAGGGGAAGATCTCAGCTTTTTAACCTGGAATGCAGAATTTGGCTAGAAGCCTGGGCGATCTGACTGGACATGCAGCCTCTCTTGGATTTAATGAATCTCAATCACTACGGGTTCGAACACACCAGCAGAGACTCTGGAAAGAAAAAAAAGAAAATTATTTACTGAGAATTTATGTAATGTCATAAACATGCAAAGTCTTCTAAACTTTAGACTTGTATTTCCAAACTGGAGTTAATTTAAAACTTTACTTAACATACATTTACCAATCAAAAGCATCAACACCAGCTTTCTAAATCAGTGGCAGCATGAGGTTTGCTGACTGCAGAGCTATAGTTCTGACTCAACGGTGGGTGTGTGAGACCTCTGCAGAGAGACCACTACCTCAAAGAACAAGGGTCCCACTGTGCAGCATGCTGGCAAGGGCCAGGCTTTCCTACTGGCTGTAGAAGCTTTCTTTTTATGCACCTGGAAGGCATTTAGCAGATTTGAACTGAGGGTTAAGGTAGCCACACACCTTACGATTATCGTACGATAATCGTATGCGATCATCTTTTCGTACGATAATCGCAAAGGCGTGTGGGCAATGTGCAACCGCAAATACTGTACAATCGTACGACTTTTGACTTTCACGCATGTTTGAAAACTTTGGCCGATCGTACGATTATTGCAAGGTTAGTGCCGTTTCCGTACGTCAAAAACCGTACGATCTGCACTGCTCATGCGCAAAGGAAAATACGTGCGGTTGATTACCGCAATTCGCCCAGGTGCTTTTCTTTAATTACGGCTAATTGAACCTTGCGATAATCGGGGCATAATGGGGCCGACAATCGTACGACGGTTCGATCATCGGACGAAAAGTGTCGTCCGATAATCGTAAGGTGTGTGGCCACCTTTATTGAAAGAAAGTGGAGGCTTTCATCTGGTCTGATTGCAACTGGGCCTATTTAATAAGGCATAGAGCTCTTTGCCTTATTAAAGACTCCGCCTTTAATGAAATGCAATGGATTTCAGGGAGTCTTGAGGTTAGCGAGAATAGGGGGGTGTAAAATTGATAACGCTGATATTTACATTTCGGTCTATTTTAAAGTAAGGGTCTCACAACTAACTAATCTAACAATATTGATTGAGTTCAGACAACTTGCAGTGCCTGCAAGTACATCTGCAGCAATCCAGGCATTTCAGGGGTGCACTGGGATCCAGGCCCCGACTTTGTATTGGAGCTTGAATACTGTCCAAGTAAACCTTAAGACCCACCTCCACCATTACCTAGTCATTAACCAGTCCAATTGAAGAACCTCAGTGGCAAGTAGAGGTACTGGCCAGCTGGAGTGGCAAGGGGAGATGGAGCTTAGTGTCAGCCTGGACATTGGATCCATTGGTATGCACAGGGGCACAGAATGTTTTGAAGATTACTACAGGTACTCTTATCTTAGCCAGTGCTTTGGACAGAACCGATTCTGATGTTAGGTTGCCATACTATCCAAGGAAACATGTCACTAGCTCTTCGTGATGCAGAACTGATTTTTTGGGATTCCTGTTGGAAGTCAGGAGGAGTAGGCACCTTCCATTTGATGAAGGCAGTGCTCCCGTTACCACAGCATAATATCAGATGGAAAGAGGTTTGTCTCTTCATTTTATGTATAACACTTCAACATAGTAAAAGTGTTGCTGGACAACATTAAAATCTGAGTGATGTACCGTAAAGCAGTTCTGATGTTATGCAGAGCGCTCACAGGAACAGCCCAGAGGAATGTAAAAGGTGATACAATCCAGATCTCTGGAAAGCAATGAGGGTGGAGGGAACTGTATGCTGCGGCCACAATAGGTCAAAGTGTTTCACAATATGTCAGTTTTTTTTGCTTTGCTTCTCCAGTTACACGGGGGATCATATTCCCTCCACAGCTAGTTTTGGTTACAAGACACAGGGGAATGCTGCGCCTGTGTACACTATGTACTTATACATATAGCATACGTTTTGGAGCCTTGTGTACAACCATCAGCTTGCTATAGCTATTTTTTAATAGTATTCAAATAACAATTACATGCAATAAGGGTGTATTCACGATTGCCTGTCTTCCTGCAATAGAATGCATGCAGTTTACTGCATGAAAATCCCTCTCAGGTGGTTAAACCCTGCTCCTTCACCCTGCTGGATAATCTCTGGTTCAAAAAAGTGCACCGCTACTAAACACAGTAAAAGGTACTAGTTGTGAGAGAGAGGCAAGTGTAAGAATGTGCTTCATACTTCCCCCTGTCCCCTCAATACAGAGTTTGTGCAAAGCACACTTATGCCATCAGCGCTTGTCAGCCATTTAGAACTTGTTACAGGTCTTGTATGTCTTTGGGTTTCCCTAACTGGCCAGCTAGTAAAAGGAGTGCAGAGTCAAGCCAGGACCAGAACTTGCAGCTGAAGGCTTCTAGATTGGGGGAACATCATTATACATTACCCAGTGCTAAAACCTTGCAATCCTGTCATTGTTTTATCGGTGGATAGCAGGAAGATAGTATTGTTAACTCCTTAATTACAACATTTACTTATCACAACCAAAAACAAGGGGAGACTCTTCATATAAGGGCAAACACAAAAAAATCATACACTGTGTATATTATGGTGAACTTCCCATTCACTTATTTGTCTAGCTTTATTGCCTTTGTGTGTGTTCTGCACGTCATCTCTTTTTCACAGGGCCTCTGGGTGCCACCGTTTCCTCCCATAGTGGAAAAATGTCAGCAGGTTAATAGCCTTCCAGCCAACCTTCTGCATGCTAATTGGGAGGTTTATGTTACATTTATTCTACCACAGCGCTAACATATCCCTCAGAACTCTACACAGAACCATCATATCAGAACCTGCTCTAGGGAAGTTTACAATCGCATGTTGCTATTACAGTCATACATCAAAAAAATTGGGGTGTGCTGGTGAGTTATTTTCTTCTGTACTACGGTCAGACAACCACACAATAGGACTAGTTTAGATGGAAGCCAGGTAAAAGGCAAATCATTATGGTTTGGGGTTTTTTAAGTCATTTTTTATTATATGTGCAAAATCTTTGTTGTACAATTTAACACTTTATACATGACAAATGATTCCCAGAGTACTTTAGGTTATCTAAGGAGGCAGCATTACAGTGTTGGTCTCCTTTCAGGCAGACTGGGTCCCACTGACATCTGGGTTTAAGCCACCTAAACAGGGATGAGTCCATGCAACAAGTCATTCATTTCTCTGTGTCAATTGCACCTCAAGCTACTAACCTCTTAAATAGGCTTTTTAAAAAAAAAAATTTGGACAGGTAAATAGAGCTTGCCATGTTAAAAGGAGGCTACATTTCCACCAACAGAACACTAAATAGTCACGTATGCACAAAACCACTACACGTTCCCTAAAATCTGCTAGTATGCCTTTGGATTTTGGGAGAGAAGTGCATCACATACAACACACAGGGCCCCAGTTCTGCAAAGTCCCAGTGATAATCATTTATAACAGGTTGTGAGATACAAAATATAGAATAGAAGGAACACTCCACTTACCTGTTAGCCATCTGGATTCCACTGAGTGTGGTTGATCCATCTCTGCTGACAAACAGCCTCAGGTTACTGTCTGAATAAAGAGACAGGGCAGAGTGTGAGACGCTATGACGTTTATACAGCAATGCCACATCTAACAGCACATAATGAGAACTGAACTCCTTTTCAGACACATTACTTGTGTCGGGATAAATATCCTCAGTAGAAATTTACAATATCAGGTGGTGTGAACTTGCTTTTCTCTCTTTAACCATGTCCTGAAAAAAGACCGTAATGATTTCTGTCAAGACGACTGACAGTTTCTCACCTGATCAAATACGCCTCCCATTTTATTTCATGTGTAACCAGTGAATGCTTTTCAAGATGTGAGCATGGAAGCCTTGCATGTGTTTACTAGTACATCTGCACTGTAATATTTAATATGATATGGCAAACAGTGAGCTACCAATTGTAGTCAAGTCACAGCTTCTTTATAAATCTCTGCCTTTCAACTGCCATACCACATTAGGGACAGAAATATTCAATATAAAGCTAACTTCCAGAAACACCTTAAATACATTTTGAATAAAAGTTTTGATTGATCTGAATCGGGGTCAGCAATCCATTGATTGCGATATACCCACTGATCATGGACAGGTGACAGGTAGATCACATCCCCACCGTGCTGACCCAGTTTCTGAAGAGCTCTTACCGCCAAATGCAGAGCGGCACAGGGAAGCGACATAACTATGTGTCTTTCTACGCTGATCTACGTATGTGACATCACAAGCAAGCACCTGGGATAGATGAATGGGCAATCAGCGCACCAGAACACATACCTATGTCTCACTGCCACTTTACTACGCTGCTCTGCATATGGAGGGTGAAGCAAGAAGTACTATCACCCCTAGTCAGGGACTTTAAATGTAGGCATACTGTAACTGCCAGCATGCAAGGGATATTGGCAGCTGGGCACAGGGGACATATCTACAAACTACGGACTTCTGAACTCTTGAATTTCAGCACTTAGCCCAGCCAGCCAGGCCAGAACTCAACCCAGCCAGCCATCAGGCCTAGAGAGCAAACCAGCCAGCCAGACAAGATCTCAGCTTAGCCAGCCAGACAAGAACCAAGCATAGCTAGACCTCAAAACAGTCAGTCAGGCCTGAACTCAACCCATAAAACCAAGGCAGAACTCCACCCAAAGAAGCAGGCCCAGAACTCCACCAAGCCAAGTAAGCTAGAACTCAATCCAGCCAGCCAGGCAGAACCTCAGCTCAGCCAGCTTTTAAAAGGTAGACGAAGTTTCTATTTTTACAGCGACATTTGTTTTATTATGTTTTTCTACGTTTTCCTTATACCTTATGATTTTGAGGCGCCTTGATAGTTAAATCTCTTTTTATTTTTTTTACGAAAAAGGCAGCCGCACCTTGGTGATCTTTGATTCCTCCATGTTGTTCAGGTAGATCTCCACCTCTTAAAGGTTGCCTACCCCTGATCTAATGATCCCGGAGGATGGCTTTATGTAAAATCCTTCAAGTGTATGCATGGGCAAAATAAAAAAAACAAACACATGCAGTACATTTCTGCAATACATGCATATGTCCCCAAATTGTATTCCTTTTAAAAAGATGCAAGTACTGTACAAACAAAATACCTGTTTATCTGCAAGAAATAACATTTGTACCCAATACAGATTCTCTACTAAAGTGAATTCCCAACCACTGTTGTCAGCCCTGCCTGCTGAACTACAGAACGCTGCCTAGGCTACTGCCTCAGTCCCTTTCCACATGCATACAACCAATTTATTTCCCAGTAAAACAATTCTTGACGCCTGCACAGAAAAAAGGCTCTTGAGAGATGTAGTTCTGGAGACATGCCTACATCAACAGGAAGCTCCTAAGAGCCTGTTTCACAGAAAAAAAGGCTCTTTAGAGATGTAGTTCTGAGGACATGGCTACATCAACAGGAAGCTGCTCCTGCAAGAATTTTCTAAGCCTGGTGATGCTGTCAGAGGAGGCAACACAAACTGTTTCTCACTACAGGACCAAGAGAAAAAAAATATAATGCTGGGACATAATCTAGAGGGTAAGAGGGATATTTAGGGTAAAGCTGGATAAATCCTGGACATTCAATTTTAACTCCTTCTCGGTATGCTGCCTGAATGATAAGACTGTTGAGCATGTTGTGACATAGAAGTTATATTACTTATAACATAGCAATACTGGTAATTTCATGTATGGCTAAGAACATCTTCTGACATGTAGCAATTCCCTGAGAGGGGGCACAACTAGAGCAAGGATGTAGTCTGATAGGGAGCTCTGCTGTTGGTGGATGGATAGTGGTGGGAGCAGTGCTATATGCTGCATTCCTGAAGTTCACAGACCAGTACACACTTGTACACCCCACTAATATACATTCCTCTCTCTTACCTTCATTGTTACTGACATCTGTAAAGTCCTGACTTTGCATGATCTTCTCTACAATGGCATCGGCATCAATTCTGGTATCATCCACCCACGTGGGGTGACTCTCCACAGAGTCTTTCTTTCTCCTATGTAGAGGACATGACATTACACATGTAAAGTTAGGGTGTCCCAGCAATTGTACTCAAGAGGCATCAGTAGGGGCAGCCATACACTGCCCGATAAAAGCAAGCACTGCAAAATATCTGACCATCATTTGAGTTGATTGGGTCATGTGTTGGTTTAGCTCACAGTAAGGGCCGTTTGTGTCAGAACTGCTTCTCTCCTGATAAAAGACGATGGGAATGCAAAAGCAGTTTGAAGCAAGTCAATGTGGGTCAGAAGGCAGTCAACTGCAGGTCAAATGCACCCGACAATTATTCTAAATGGTCTCAGAAGCATTTCAAACTGATGTCATAAGCAAGCAGGATGTGTCCATCGGCACTGATTGTACCGAATGTTCCCTTTTCTACACAGAGAGGGGTAAAAAACCAAGCTGCATTGTACTTCTGTTTAAACTGTGAATAAAACTGTGGCTAGTCTCAGCAGCATTTAAATCCAAGAGAAATCAGTAAATATATAACTGTCTGTCATTTGAATAGCTCTACAACACAGAGACTGCAGATCACACTACAGCATAAGCATTAACTCCTGAGATAGACTGTGGGCATTGCAGCAAGTGGAAGTCATTGTGGCTGCACTACAGGTAAGTTGCAGTTTAGGAATGCAATCACTAGGGGGAGAGGTCATAGTGGGTGTGATCATGTGTAGGAGGAGACGTGATTGTGGGGATAGGTCACAGTGGGTGTGATCATGTGTAGGGGGAGAGGTCATAGTGGGTGTGATCATGTGTAGGAGGAGACGTGATGGTGGGGATAGGTCACAGTGGGTGTGATCATGTGTAGGGGGAGAGGTCATAGTGGGTGTGATCATGTGTAGGAGGAGACGTGATGGTGGGGATAGGTCACAGTGGGTGTGATCATGTGTAGGGGGAGAGGTCATGGTGGGTGTGATCATGTGTAGGGGGAGAGGTCATGGTGGGTGTGATCATGTGTAGGGGGAGAGGTCATGGTGGATGTCATCATGCAGGAAGCAGAAGATTAGCGCTGGGTGTATAGAACGTCTGGCATTAGAACTCTGCAGCAATATAGCACAGCAAGTGTGACTGGTTCGCATGAATATGCATTACCAATCTTTTTGGCAGCTTTAAGTGACAATGCTGCTGTAAGCACTTACCTTATTCGATTCCTCTCGATCCGATCATCTTCATTCCACCCTTTTTCGACAGTCCCTCCAGCGCTGGTGGCGGTCTCTGATCCACCTCAGACTCCTCCGGTCCCACGATGTCTGCCAGTTTTTTCCTGCCTGTGTTCTCACTGGAAAGCTTCACCCTCTCTGTTGTTAAGTAGTTTATACTTTAAATACTTTTGAACTATTAATGTGGTGTTCTCCTTTTAATATAACAAAAACAACTAAGGAAGCTTTTATGACAACTTTGTTCCATGCACTGGATGAGCCAAATGGAATAAAGAGGCCTCTTAACATGCAGCAGTACAGTCAAAACAATTAGGAAAAAGGGGAATCTCAACATAAGAGTAGATTAACAATAAAATCCATGGCAGAAGCCAAGTGGGAAGATCACGAGCGGAGTGTGTCACAGGAGCTGGCTACGGAATTCACAGATACCAGAGCCAACACTCTAAACTGACTCAGTCCCAGCTGAGTCACATCACATATTCCATGCTGGGACTACAGACACACTCACGGCCCTGTCACTAACTTGACATTTATAAGACAGAAGACTTTTTGTTTCTGTTGGTATTGAATAAGACCATGTGTAAGGAACTAAGACTGTCCTAACGTGGAAAACAGAAAACTGCTAAGATCCATCGGATCATAAATAAGCATCTCGTTATATGGTCATTACCTGGACTGTCTGTCAAGGAGGGGTGGTCTGATTGGCCTTAGAGGCTTCTCTGGTTTGGCTTCCTTTTCTCCTTCAGGTAAGTCTGCCGTAATGCTGATTCCCCCGGAGGCACTGCTGCTGGTGGACGTGTTGCGTCTGTGAGTCAAGTCTGACATACTGGAGCAGCGCGAGTGTTCAGAGCTTTGTCCTGTAGAGGTAAAAATTCCTGGTCATCTCAGAGCAGACTGGGCGATTCACAGTGCTGTAGTATTGCCGGCAAGACTGAGGCCTAAAGGCATAATGTCTGTGGTGATGCCTTACTCTCAGTCTTTAAAGCACTTGGAACGAATAAAGGACATGGAACGAATATTCCAAAAATTTATTTTATCAAACACATTTCTGCTGACTTCACTCTATGCGCAGCAATACTAAATACATGTTCAGTCATAGGGCCAGACGGAGAGCTCCTGGCTGTTTTCTGCTGTGGAGTCAGAGAGAGTGTCTATTAAAAGGAGAACTATGGGGTTAAGGCTTTTCCTCATAGCTCTCCTTAGGGTAACGGGAGGACACAAATTAGCGTCCTCCTGTCACCCTAAGCTCAGTATACCACAAGCTGTAGCTCGCGATATACTGAGACGCCGCAGCTGAAGCGGATCCCGACAATTGTGCAGGGATCCGCCCAGCTGCGTGACTGACAGCTGGCTCTGCCTATCTAGCAAGCTGTACCCGCTCCCCTTCCGTTCCGCCAGCCAGCGCTGGAGGAGCGGGGAATCCAGCCCCTCCCCTATCACGGCATAGAACCGTGACAGGGTCGAGAGGTGAGCGAACGCCGGTATGTGTTCGCTCACCTCCCGATCTACTAAGCCGACCTGGGACAGTCTCATTGTCACAGGTCGGCTAGAACTATGAGGTGAGTGAAAAGCACTCGCCTCATAGTTCTCCTTTAAGATTTTGCAGATGCAGCTCACTGTTCTGCATTTCCTGAGTAGTTAGAAAGCCTTTACAGCACCAAAGAATTTGTGTGCTGCTTGACTGCAGAGCAAGCATTAGTAGACCCACAGTGACATTCCCAGCCATTTTATGTCCACTAGTATTTGTCTGCACTGATCTTCATTTTGTGTACATTCATGGAAGATGAACAGACTGCCATCCGCAGATCAGAGGCCACCTATAAGCCACCTGCAGCTCAATACTCATCTAAACTAGTTGTTATTCCCCAACCAATTATGCTTCACAAACATGATGGTCCTAAAAGAAATAAACTATTTGATGGCTTTGCCGTGACTGTGGAACATTCACATATCTCCTGATATGATGTTAATGAAACATTACCTGCTTTTTTTGGTTTAAGGAGAGTCAACTAAAACTATGTCCGAATGCTCTAGTAGGGTAACTAAGCAGAATAAGGCGGTCTTCCAGGGAATCTATAACTGCTCCAATATTCACTCTCTTGCTGAAGACTGCCTAACCACAATTTCATAAATCTCAAAAGAAAAAGAAATCTCATAATCCAAATCTCCTCAAAAAGAATGTAACCAAACTCTGCTTTGTAAAATGCAATGTACCATATCCTTTTAGCTCATCTTCACTCTCTTGCTTCTCTAAGCATTTTTAGCTCCTGACACCTATGGGTTTGTCGGATGCCCTCACCCACCCTGCTGCATATTTTCCCAACGACTTCTGATGCTCCAGTCAGTCATTGGGAGCGAGTCAAGATGTGAACTCCGAATAGCTCTAGTCAGAGCGTACATGAGGTTAGTAACAGAGGACTTTCCCTGGAATCATGTGACAGCGCTGGGCCAATCCCCCAAGCACCCATGCTGTCACATGAAAGGGAGGGGAGCGAGCCACAAGTAAGAGGAGCTTTTTTTGCTCCCAGCAGCTAACCAGAGCGGCGTAAAAGTGATTCTGTGCTTACATGGGCAAAGAACAAGTTTGCTTTAAGGGAGTTTCATTAACATTGTATTTACTTTCAATAAACAAGCATGGCCAGTAGATTGGAAGCAGGTGAGCCCAGCTAAATAGTCACAATTGCTGATCCACTAGACCTGTTATCATACAGAACACAGTAAAAGGCAGATGTGGTAAATGAGCCTCTTTAAAGGAATGCATGCGGTGTGTGTTATTTTTTAATAAAGAAAATATAAAATATTCTTTACCCGACACTTTGGACTGCTGGCTAGCCTGGCTGGAGTTTCGCGAGTGGCCTGAATGGGACGTTTCCTCTGGGCTTGAGAGATTCTGGTCAGCTTCTTCGAAAACTCCTGCAATGTTTAGGAAGAAGAAGAAGAGAGGCTTAGCGGAGGATTAGCTATAGCTTATCCTGATAGTTAGAACATAACTGTTGGATTTGGCTTCCATCCATCGCTGTGTTTCTCATGAGAAACGATGCAGATCACCACATTCCCTGCAACTAGTAAAACTACCTTCTGAAAGACGATAGCTTTCCCTGAGGCCTTGTTCACACCAAATGCAGAGCAGATCCGCTCAGGTTTCTGCACACGCAGTGCAGTGGGTTGTGCCGCGTATTTGATGCGTTCCGGGCCGTTTTTGGTTAAAGCCTTAGTGTAACCATGCGCATGTTCCTCTAAGACATCTGTTAAAGCAGACTTATACCCCCAGGATAAGGTTGTTTCTTTATGTTACAGTCAGCGGCCCAGTGATGTCAATAAAACCAAAGGCAGATATGAATGACTTATCTTTTCCTCTAGTTCTCCATCTAATTCCCTTTGGTGCACAATATCACAATAAATTGATCCGGTCTACCAGGGGAGAGGAACGTGTGTTCCTGCTGTAGCTTCTGATTGGCCAGCTCTACCGTAATCCCCATCCCCTAAGCCCCTTCATCATCGGTTAAAAAAGGGTCCAGAACTGGAAAAACCTTAAGGTCTAGTTCACACCATAACTGCATCAGAACTGTGTGCGTCAGCACAGCTGCAGTGTGATGTGTTTTGCAGCGTTTTTACCACAATGTTGACACTTTTTTTTTAGCTTAAAATGGGCTTTCAGGTGCAGTCCAGTGCGTTCCAGCTCGTTTGCATGCATTTTGATGCGTTCCATTGCGATCAGGTGCAGCTAAAATGTGGCAAGCAGGATTTCTTTCTGACTGCATCGGAGCTGACTGCACTGGTGTGAACAGAGAACCAGAAATCCTATTGGAAAGCACTGATGCAGTTTTGATGCAGCTGCCAAACTGAACGGACTGCATCACAACTGCATCTGGTGTGAACTAGCCCGAGGGCAAAGGCTGTCTTTTGTAATCATTCTGGTTATACTGAAATAAACACAAACCAAGCAGAAACAAAATGCAAACATTCTCTCTAATATTTGGGGTCTCGGTTAGCAAACACTTTTTCTGAAGGGTATAGGTAGTCTAAAGCTGAATGCCAGGTACAACCTCATTTATAAAGCCATTAGAAAACTGAAATGTATTACACACAGCACTAGTACGAGTACATTCATACTGTCCTCTGTAGCAGCAGCTGGAAGTGGGAAGGGAGCAGTTTGAGCCAAGATTTGCATGGGGTTTATATTATATAAAACATTCTAAAAAGAAAGCGTGAGCTCAGGAAGACTGGACTTAAGATGGCCATACACTGTGCGACTTCCATTCGGAAATTGTACACGGATGGTCTTTTCAGGGGACATCGAATAGTCAATGGTACATCACGGATTTTCATTTTTGACATTGTGATCAAAATTTATCAATTGTTCGGATTGGAAAATGTTTCTCTGACCGAACGAAAATCGATGAATCAGCGGGGTTTTCGTTCATCAAAAATCTCACCAAGAACACAGCACATGCGCAAAAGGAAATTATTTCCGTCGTTTGTAAAAAAAATGTGTTGGTTAGTATGGCTAATGAAATCGACATTTGACTATGCTTGATGGGGCATTAGAGCGATAAATCGAATGAGGTCTCGTGCCAGACAAAAAAAATTCAGACCGAAAATCTAGTGTATGGTCACCTTAATGTGCCGCTCCCCCTTCTTTGTCCAATCACAAGCTGGGGTAAACCTAGATCAGGCGGCATAGTCTGCGGAGAGGCCCTGCTGTGCTGTGCATGTCTGGATCATAAGACCAGCTGAGCAGAATAACAAATTGTTTGGCAAGAAGCAGAGGTCACATATACAGGTATATATATTTCAACGGTGTATTTGGGTCTCTGGCCAGATTTCAATATGAACCTGCTCTTCTCTTCTAGTTACATTCACCGGCTGATGAATGATGTCACACAAGGAATGGAGGCACAGCCTTTTCTCGGATTACATGCAGATAGACATGCTGTAAGCGCGGGGGTGTAAAACGGTTGTTTTCTGGGCCTTATGTGGCCCTCTCATTACATCTTTGCAGCCCGCAGATAAAGACTACACTTCCTCACATGGTTTTGCAGTTGAATGCTTTAGAAAATGTTTAGGGTCCCTCTTAGGAGAAAATCTTGTTAAAAGCATTACTATAATAAATACCAAAGTATTAACATTTCCAGAATGAAGTAGGGGTGGCTCTTAGTAGTCAGAATGTGGCCCCTTGAAGATATATTAGGCCCAATGAGGCCTAAAGCTTGACCTGAGCTTGATATACCAACAGTAAATCAACCATTATGACAAAATGGCATCTGTGCTATTATACCTGAACTCAGCAAGGCTTGCCGGCTCTTGTTCGGACGCATTGTGCCGCCTGTAGAACGCACGGTCCCCTCACCCTTACAGGTCATCTGAAGTGAGGAATCCTGCCCAGGAGTGGAGATGGATTTGGCTGTCGATGGAGGCCTACAATAAAGAGACACACTGGTTCATGTGCTGCAGAAATAGTTTTTGCCAATTATCTCTGTGAAATAAAATCATTTAGTGACCATTTCGCCCTAAATGACAATCACAGTATTACTGAATTTAGTGCAGCTCATTTCTGAGCAGGGCTAGCACACAAGAGACCTCTCCACTTTGAGCATTAAAGTGTAATTCTACTTTCCCAGGTGAAATTGGAAAAATGGAATTACCCCCTCCAATCTGCCCCCCCCCCTTACATTTGGGCAAACACTCCTACCCCTGCGCCGGTGCGGTGTACTATCTTTACCTCGTACTGCCGTGTAGCGTAGCCCTGCAATCTGGATTTTGAGTTTTGTTCACAAATGGCGAGCACTCATTGGTCAGCATGGTCACCTGACCACACTGACCAAAGAGAAGCACTTCCTGCTAGAAAAAGTGTTTCCCATTGGCCAGTGCGATCAGGTGACCATGCTGACCAATGAGTGCTCGCCATTTGTAAGCGAAATTCAAAATCCAGATCGCAGGGCTATGCTACACAGTAGCACAGGGTACAGATAGTACGCCTGTCCCGGCAGAGGGGAAGGAGCTGTCGCCCAAAGGTAAGTATAGTGGGGAGGAAGGAGTAATTCTATTTCCCAAATTCACCTGCGAAAGTGGAATTACCCTTTAATGAGCACCTGTCTCCAATACACAGCTGAGTCAGCCATTTCATTAGCTGTAATAATACTCAGCCAGAACTAGCAATAGGAATATAGAGTGAGGACTTCACTATACTCTCCAAAACATCTGAGAAGTCACAAAATATTATGAACTCTAACCAGTAGCAAATGTTAGATTCCATAACTTTAGTAACCCATAGCAAACAATAAGGTTTATGTTCCTTTAGTTCTAGCAATCAAAGATGAATACTGATTTATTATTGCAGCACTCGCTGTAACCCAACTTACGTTTTGAAGCAGGGGTCTCCAGACAGGAGGGACATTCCAATGGTTACCTGTAAAAGGAAAAATAAATAAATATTATAGGATTAATTACACTAATAGCAATTTTTCATTTCAGACCGCAATACTCCAGGGACATATCATCAGTGGCATCACAAGGGGGGTGCGGGGGGGAGGAGGGCAGCTGATTGACTGCAATCACTGTTTTCCATCAGCGCCTTCAAACAAATGTCAACAAAAAAATGAACTTTTGTTGAACCAGGTGGTGTCGGCAGGGCCACGCAAAGCTCGCATTTCAGCCGATTCAGCAGGGAAACGGACAAAATGTGATCCGTGTGTGGCCAGTTTTTGTGATTAACCAGTAATTTATGATAGCATGATTGGGCTAATAATTGGGCTCTAGCCTAACAACCTGCCAATCACTAGTAAAAAGGCATTAGCAAATAATCAGGCCAAACACTGGCTCTGCTAACAATTGCAAAAAGAGAAGAAACAACTAAAAGCTTAAAAAATAAACAAACGAAATTGTCTCCAATTTAATTTAAATGAAAAAAGAAGCCGATGAAATATGAAAAAAACAAACCATATGAAACCTGGAAGGAGGCTGGAGAGAATGAGGAGGACACAAAGTAAGGCATGATACCTTTAATATTGAGTTGTCCTGTCGGGTATTTCGGGTGTCGTATCCCTCCAGAAGGCAGCAGCGTACTGTGGATCCAGAACCTGCAAACTCAGCCAGGTTCAGGTCAGCAAAGCCCAGCTGAAAAGCAAACAATGGCAATCAGAGAGAGAGACACAGCCAAGATGGAGGCAGACTGGTTCTGAGCAAGGCATGATGGGAACATTCTTCCAATGTATTGTTAGAAAGATAGGAAGTGAACAGCACTACACCTATTTTTAAACCGATACCCTGTATAAAGGAACAGTTCCCTCCGATCCCAGCCTGTGACAGAAGTTATGCATCCAAAACAGAAATGAAACAAATAAGTGCTTTTATTGCAGTGTTTGTCTGCGTCACATGGTGGCGTTGGCAGGGGGTCACTACATCCCATCACAGTGTCAGGAAACCCAGAGAGGAAGGGGCCCGAAATGGAAGGATGCTCAGCCCAGTGTCCTTATGTTGGCTTCCTCCACAGTGTGCTGACCAGGCTATTCTCCTCTCCTGAGTGGTGACCATGTGATATTCCTGGACTGATGTCTGGCCTTCGTGTCATGTGATGCAGAGTAGATTCTTTACGGCTCTTCAGCCATGTCTAAATTTAACGCACGTCACAATTCCAAAATGCTGTGACTCCTTACCTGAAACTCTGTGGCGAAGTATGTAGTTATGAATCAGCAAATATCTTCCTGAACTGCCAGGCTGCTGTGTTCATATGCAAAGCATCCCGTAAAATGAACCTTTACATTCCACAGGTTTTAGCTTTTTTTGAGCTCTTTGTTTTCAATAAATAAAATAACTGATGCTCCCAAGTTCCCTCATATGACCTAATGCCTAGGCAGTGGAGAGAACGTGGTCGCTGTCAACTAGAAGCACTGTGGGTGCAATAATGTCACTGGAGTCATCTCGAGTTTCCATGAGGCTTCATTTCCTTACTCTTTGTGGATGAACAGTGTGGTGGTGGGGTGAAGGATAAGCTACTAGGGAGGAGGCATTAAAGCCTATGTGCAGGTAACAATAAACTACCCTTGCAAGGGTGCTACCCCTGTACTGCAAGGGCTAACTGCTCATTTATATCTAGGGGTATTGTGAAGAGGACTTTTACATCCTTCATCCCTGATCCCCCAGTGGTCAGCGCTCACCAATGTCCCCTCGGCTCTGTGTCATGGCGTCCTCATGTATAAAAGGCAGTTCTAGAGACCCTACAGGTGCTGGTCTTGGAGCCCACGGGAGCGGGGATCAGGGAAATAAAAGTATTTTACACAAGTACACCCTAGACAAAAACAAGCAGTTAACCCTTGCAGTAGGGAGGCATCCCCACTGGAAGGGCAGTTTTGTTTTTGTTCACCTGGACATAGACTTTAAATTGAACCTGTTGGTTTGTCTTGGACAGGCAAAGCACAGTTTTGCTTTAAGCCCAGAATGTTTGCGTACTCTCAGGATGAAGCGAACCCCCCCC